TCTTTAAGCATCGCTTTAATACTTGCTACCTTTTTCTTGCTTAGAGAGAAGCTTTCTTTGGACTGCCTTGCAGACTTTTGCTCTTCTGACATTATATATATACTTGTTCTCTATTTCTCAAAATGACTTCAGCTTTTTTTCCAAAAACCCTGGAATAATTCCTGGTTGCCTGTGTTCCGTCCGATTTAAACGTAGTATACTTGTCTTCTATTGGCTTACATATGATACATCAAGTTAGATATCTCTCCACGTGTAGTTTGTTTACCTTGTTTTGTGACTCTTGTATTACGTTAGAGGATCTGCAAGACAGGATAAATTCAAATCCCCACTTTTTTTAAAAATTTCTATGAATTTTCTTTGAGAATCAAGTTTTCTTCTAGGATCTTTCTAGTTTTCCTATCTTTCACTTTCTACTAAGTGTAACTTTGTATACTCCTTCCTTTTTCTTATTGTCTTTTGTATTGTTTCTTAATACAGTTTCTTTGAAAAATACATTTTTGCTTTAGCTTGAAAATTGGTTCGAATGATCTGCGGAGAGAGTCCCTTTGGATAACTCAGTATACTATAATTATTAATAAATTAAAACTATTCTATTTACTATATTATTCTAATTTTACTATAATATCACTTTTATTTTATAGAACGTTAAAGAAATAACAAAATATTTAATATCTTGTATTTTTGATTGTAATACCTGCTGGAATAGTTCTTATCTAGCATGGACAAGATTAATTCAAATTAAAGCCTATATTGAACTTCTTATTACAGATCTTATTACACATGACAAAGCTGAAGAACGCAAAGATGGCAAATTATTAAAAGAAATTAATTTAACAAATTCAGAATGGGATTTATTAAAAGAACTTTTACAAGTTTTAGATCCATTTGAAGAAGCAACAAGATACTTAGGAGGCTCTTATTACTCTACGTATAGTTTTATTTATGCTGTTATTGAAAAATTAAAAGAATTTTTTAAACTAACGATTAATAAGTTAAATATAGAAAATATTGAAGATACTCAAGATGTATTTGATCAAGATGAAGATGAGCAATCAGAATTTACTAGTTATAATAAAATTAATATACCAGTTAATACTGTAGGTTTACTGAATGAAGTTAAAAAAAAAATATATATGACTCTTTGTCATTACTATTCAGATTATACTCCTCAAGAATTAGTATCAGCTCTATTAGATCCACGACTTAAATCTCTTGACTTTATAAATGCTTTAAATAGATCAAAAGTTGAATTAACTCTTCGGAATTTGTATATTAATGAAAAGGCTTTAGAAAACCAAGTACATCCTTTAAGGTATAGTTTTATTTTTTATATTATTAAATTTTTTAATAAAAATTAAACTATCTAAAATATAAGTTAGACTTATTAAGAAAATTACTACTCAGATACAAATAATTTACTATATATCTTAGATAATCTTATTCGAGTTCAATTCTTAATTTAGTTTTTATAATTTTTATTTTTGATTACTAATAAAAAATTACTATATTTAGTGAATATGAAAATCAAGATTTGGAGAATACTGATAAAATTGATAATTGTACAATTACTAGCAGTCCATTATATATACCCCAATTAATAAAATCTTTAGAAAAGAAAGAATCTCCCGCAAATAATGAGATTGAAGAATATATGAAACTTGCTCAAATAAGTCTCAAAAATGATCCTTTAGCATGGTGGGAATTACAATCAATAAAATTTCCAATTCTTTCTAAATTAGCAAAAATATATTTAGCATCACCAGCAACTTCAACTCCTAGTGAGCGCTTATTTAGTGATGCTGGGAACTTAATGACATTAAAAAGAATCTGAATTGCACCCAAATTATTCAAAAGAATGATGTTTTTAAAGAGAAATATTGATATATATCAGAATATTCATCCTCTTGAATAATATAATAATAATATATGATAATTAGAATTTTGCTGTGTAATAAAAATTTGCAAATATTTTAATTAGAATTTTGTCTTGCAATAAAAATTTGTGAATAGCTATATGTATTATAGTAAGTTAGAAGTATATAAAATATTCCAAGATTATCAAATTCTGCTATAAACACATATTGTTTATTAATTTTATTGTGTACTATAAAAATTTGAAAATTATAATATAATTAATTTTTGCAACAGATAATCAGATATCTATTAAAGGATAACAGATAAAAGTATCTGATCTGACACAGATAACAGATATTTTATCGGAGCTTAAATTCATATCAGATCAGATTCAGATGTCTGGATCATATCACTAACAACATGAAAACAAAATTGCAACAAAATAATAATCATATAATTATATTATAATGATATTAAAATAATATTATTAAAAAAATAAAATAAAATAAATAAATTTTGAAACTTTGTATATTTATAATAAATTAAATAAACAACTACTCTTTTTGTAGATTATTTAAACCAAAAATCGAGTTAAAGGTTTTGATATAGAAAACACAATAAACAGTTTATAAATATAGCTAGAGTTATTAAGAAAAAAGTTTCAGAACTAAGAAATACAATTAAATAAAAAAAAAAAAAAAAAACTAAAATCTATATATAAAAAGAAAAACTTAGAAAACTTCTTTACAACAAGAATTTTATTTAAAAATCTTTTTTTTTTGAGAAATAACAAATATTTTAACAAAACGACTTTTTCTATAGATCATTTAAACCAAATACGTAGCTAAAGAAAAACTATAGAAAATATCTAAACTTGATTAAGAAACTAGTAAAACTCTACTAAGAAAAAAGATTCTAGACAAAGAAATATAACTAAAAATAAAGTTGAAAAGAAAAACAAGTTGTTTTTTTTAGAAGATATAAAAGAAAAATATCTTTTCAAAAATTTTTCTGTATTTTAGACAACAATTTTTTAGAGAATAGTCAAACCTTAGAAAATCTAATCATATGAATTACATAATTTTCTATATTAAATAAAGCAAATTAGAAAACAAATCATGTAAACAGAAGATATATAACATATAAGAAAAAGTAATTAATAGTATACACTATGTACAGATATACGTTATACTAAAACTGGACAACTTCTGGAGAGCTACAAACTGAGTACTAAGTAAAGTCAAATAATTTATAGAATAGATTAGATCAAGTATAAAATCAAGATAAACTAAAAAGATTTAGAATACAAAAAGTTTAAAGTTTTTTATTAAGAAGTTAACTAAAGAGTATAGTAGAAAAATTATCTAAGAAGGTAGTTCATTTGTACTAGGATAAGTTGACTACTTAAATAAAATAGTAGTAAAAGTAATAAATATAGACAAAGAGTATATTACTTTAGTAAGACAGTAGCATACAGTAATAGAAAGAGCTGTTTTCTGTGAAGAGATAGATAGAGTAAAGGTAATTTTAGATTAAGTACAAGAAATAGAAAATATATAATAAAAAAAACTAACAAAAAAGATAAAAGAAGTAAAAATGAGAGTAGAAAATATAACAATAGTAGTAACAGATAAGATACAAAGTGTAAAGTCTACAGAAAATATAATCAAAAGTAACTAAAGAAATAGAGAAATCAGATATTCAAAGAGATATAGAAGATATATGTCTTATAGAGCAGGGATGGTAAATGACCTAGTCATTTGATCAAAATTTAAATGATCTCTAGTCATCAAATAATGACCAGATCATTTGGATCATTAGGTCATTTAGATCATTTACATATGAAGTAATTTTATTGGTCAGATATCTAATATATAAAAAATTATCAACTGATATTATTTCACTATCAATAATAGTAGCTACATATAAAAGTCAAAATTTTATTAAGCTAATTGATAATTTTATATTAGGTAAAGTTGTTTAAGAGAACAAATTGAATATAATCTGAAAATTTTGTATAATTTTAATAACTTTTTATTAAGTCATTTTTATGCTTTACGTTTACACGAAAAAAAATTAAATTGTTTTATATAAACGTAAAACATAAAAATGACTTAATAACTTACAGTAAACCCTGTCCGTTTCTGGGGTTGTAACCCTGTAAATCATGTTACACCAATATTATCCGAATATTGGAAGTATGACGCAACGTTTAAAGAGATGTAACATTACACAAATAAATCTTGATAGGATCTACGGGCAGGGGACCTGCATAGTAGAAACCCCGAGTGGGTGAAGTAGTACGGCTTTCAACGGTCACACCAGCTAACGCTTGATCCAGAAGGACACAGTGCTCAAAGACTTTAATCAGGTTAGGTGCGCATAAGTCCGTATCGCAGTGGTGATCGCTATATGTTACGGTAATACCAACTTGGCTTAGCGGCTAACTAGATTAGGAGAATCTAGCTCGTGATAGGCCTCAGCAAGATCTGTAAACGATACTGGTGGAGAGCTACAGTAGGAACTGGGGTCACACGAACATCCACAAGGGTCTTAGCTAGGTGAATCTGTGAAATGGGCATGGACCACTCTAGTAGGTATGCTTCCGAGGTTAACCAGAGCTCTGCGGCATACAATATGTTGGGCATACATATCCCGAGAGGACCTAAGCTATGCGATAAATGGATCCACAGGTGAACCGGCTGACTTAAGCGGTCGGTCATAGTGGTGATGTTAGTTTGGAATGAGGGAAAGGGTTAATGATCAGAGTGTTTAAATAGGTAACTCACAGGTGAGTTACAGGTATGGCAGCATGTATAAAACTAACAGATGGTCGATCGTCTGTATGGCGGACTACTTAAATTAGACAATGACTAAAGTTGTACGTGTAGCTTGTTGTACACTCATCATGTAACAGTAAAACCTTAGGAGTCTACTCATGTAGTAGCTCCATAATAACAAATTAATAAAATCTAATCGGCAAAGGAAGCCACCTTAATAAAAAAAAAAAAAAAAAAAAAAAAAAAAAAAAAAAGACTTAATAAAAAGTTATTAAAATTATACAAAATTTTCAAATTATATACAATTTGTTCTTCTGCTAAACAACTTTACCTAAGATAGAATTATCGATTAGTATTGTAAAATTTTGACTTTTATATGTAGTCATTATTATCGGTCATATTTTATAAAAATTAATAATCAATTTTTATCAGCTAAATAGCATTAGATTATCGATTAACAGAAGTTAAATGACCTTCTTAAGTCATTTATATATTTTTTTTTTTTTTTTTTTTTTTTTTTACTTTATACAAATACCATTAGCTGAAACTTTATTGGTTATTTGATAGTAG